AGCCTTGCTGGCTGGGGAATTCTGGGAGTTGAAGTCCATACATCTTAAAGTTGCTGAGATTGAAAAACACTGATCTATCTTGATCTATCTGTCTTCATCTATCCATCCATCTACTTTTAAACTGGAATAATTTGGGAAATAATGTGTATTTCACATTGCTTTCTCCTACAGAGGACTCGACATAGGTCCTTCAGTATGTCCTTCGGCCAATTCACCTGTTTACTGCATTAATCCGTTTTCTGGATTCCCGTAATTCATTGTGCCATAAACTAACGCAACAGCCTGGGATTCCCATCACAGGCTAAACCACAAAAAAGCAAACAGACTTAGCCGGTTGTGCAATATCGACAGCATCACAGCCACTGTGAATCCGCTGTTGAAATGTTTTCAAGGTTGATCTGGATTTAAATATAGTCTAATTTTGCACTGTTGCTTTTAATGCTCTCGTTTCGTTTTCTTGACTGGCACAGCTTATTGTCTTGATCGGGGTTGACACAATGCAATTTCACACGTTGCCACCCTGATTTGCAAATGTTGTTTGGATTTCTGGGCAAAGCAAACCTGCAGTAAAAGATGCCCTAACATTCAGTTTGGAAAGATTTTAAATAAAATAAAGCTAATCTAAATATGCAATGGGGTGTTATAGAAGGTCAGTGTACAACAATGACTATTGAATTACAGTTTCCCTGTAATACCACTCTCCAATTCTCTAATCCAATAGTAATAGACATTTTTGCCTTTAAAGCCAACCATAAACTTGGAAAATAAGCATGGACCTGGGTAGTATTTGGATGGGAGACCACTAGGAAATCTAAGGATGGTAGGCTGGATTGGAAAGTAATATAAACAAACAAACATACGTACAGGTAATTTTCATACTGCCTAGAGCCTCTGGGAATCGGGCGGCATATAAACTTAATGTATCATTATTGTTGTTATTTATCAAGAAAACTGTCCAGACATGTCCATTAACTCAACTGGAGGGAATCTTTACCTTTAGCCAGAGCAGAAGGCAGCTCCTAGCTGATCTTGGCTGACCTCGAAAAAGCTAAGCAGAGTCAGACCCGGCTAGCAGGTGGAAAGGAAACCACCAGAAAATCCCCAGACTGTAGGAAACCTCCTGGGACAAGCCCATGGCGAAGCACATCCATTCTATTGCCAAGAAAACTACATTGCTCTGTCTGTAAGGGAATTGATAAAAGGGGAGGGAGGAGTTAAAATACAGAAAAAAGAAGCTGGGAGGGCCTGTGGGGGTGAGGGAAGTCCCCCCCCTTTTCCCACTCATGAAAATGAGTGAGGCAGGTTTTTAGGCACGGAACCCTAAAAGGCTTGAACCGTGTTCCAAAGAGCAAGTGGCTAGTCCTCAAGTCTCCAGGGGCTTCGTATCCCGAAAGAATATTTAAAGCTGTGCGTCTTCCCAAGCCTGTTCAAAATGTGACTGAGCCAAGTGGGTCAGAGGCAGTCTGCGGGTGGGGAAAGTGGGTCAAAAAAGTCAAAATGGCCACTGCAACTACACAGTCAAAGCCCCACCTCCTTTTTTATGAGAAAAAGAAACATGAAAACTCCTGGCTGTGGTTATTTTGGATTGTTCTGGCTTCCTGTGGCCTACACCATCAGAACACCAAACAGCCTCCTAGGTGGCTGAAGGTTGCCCATCCGGCTCTAACCATTACCCACACTGCCTCCACGAATAGTCAGCGCTTTGGCCACAGCTTTATCCCCCCATGGCTGTGTCTAATCTGTAAAGCATCCTTTCCCTTCCTCTTCTCCACTTTTCTCTGCCCCCCCGCCCCCCTTGCCTGATCCCCAGGAAAAGTTTCGTATAGACTGTGTTTGCATGACACAATTGTAGTTCACTTAACCGGGGTGTATTTCATTAAGCCCA